AAATTGACGAAAAGTTTTAGTCTAATTTCCCACTAAATTAGCCGATATCGATTTTTCTACATAGATACATACACATGCAAATAAGTCGACGAAATTCCACAGAATGAGGACTAGTTCGAAACGAAGTCAGATTAAAAAGTTTAAAATGTTTAGGAAAGCTTGCTGATTTTTGTTTTAATATTGCACACAATTTAAAATCGGATTTACATAGCTTTTGTTAAAGAATGAACTGAATTTTTATAAAAATGCCTAAAATTAAATAGGAAAGCTTGCTGAAAGTGGCGGGAAACAAGCGTTGGACAGTGCAAGCGTAGCGCAAAAGACGCGCAGCTGAGTCAGGGTGAGTTAAGTAACTCAATTGTGAATGCAAATTGTGTATCTAGTTGTACTCTAATCAGCATAGAGGTGACTTTTGCGTATTGATTGATACCTCAAAAAGCCCAATTCGCAACAATGTTGCAATGAAAAATGGCCCATTTTACAACGCTTTTATCAACTTGCAATGTTGTAGCTCCAGAAACTTTCAATGTTGTGGATCCAGAAACTTTCAATGTTGTGTGTCCGACACCATAAAACCTTTGCTTTGCAAAGTTCCTATAAAAAAGTCTAGTGCATAGGGCGACATCTGTAGTGAATAGGGCGAGGTAGATGACATCTAGATGTCGCCCTATGTACTACGTTCGCTACAGCGGAAATAGACGACACGCCATTTCTTTAAAGCAAATTAATTGGTGCTCGTATGTATGTACATACATATATGCAGGTGCGTATGTTGAAAGCAACCCAGCAAAACCAGCGTGACCGAATCTCCAACACAAACGCAAATTTTATGGTGTTACTAACACACCTGTAATAATTTTTGATTGGAGTGCCATCTATTGTTTTTTTGTGCGAGCTATCTTTTACATATGAGTAAGTAGTCATGCTAATCTTTTCACATATGAGCAAGCAAGCAAACTATTTGGTTTGAAAAATCACACGTACACAGAACTTCTGGGAGCATTTTTGATTCACTATTAACACGTTCGGCTGAAGTGCGGGAATTCCCGTCATTCATGTTTCCTTCAATAAAACAATTGCGGGAATTCCCGCGCTATTTGAATAGAGCTTTTCAACCGTCAAAAACGGTCCGCTTCTTATCACTGCACATTATTAGTGTTGGTAAAGTCTTGAACTACCATCCCTGACAGGCCAACCGCAATTCAAACAAATTTAATTTGGGGAATCCCCATTCAAAGTTAACGTGCCAGTAATTTTTTTTTTGTTGAGGGGAAGTTTCAATAAAACGAAATGCGGGAATTCCCGACAAAAGTGCATAGGAAATGTATGTGGTTGAAATTAATTGATTCTCTGAGTGTGACAAATGCGAAAGTTTACTTTTTCTTGTAAAACTAAAATAAATATAATTTTTGTCTTAGTTGTGCATGGTATTTTGTAATAAAATATGGCTAAGAAAAGTTTGCAAAATTTGGTGGACGAAATATTTGGTGATGCAGAAGACGAAAATTCATCAGACGAGGAGAAGGTTAGTTCCAGTGATGACGATGAGAGTGAAAACAACACAACACATCAGGAAGATTCCATCTACGAGGATGATACCGATATTT